AGGCCCTCTATGAGGTGGATTGATTCAGTGACTGGGATAATTGGGATGGGAGTGTCAGAGACAGTGCGATTGGCACAGGACAGAGCGGAGTTTAGGGCTGTTGTACATAGGGTCGCTATGAGTCGCAGGCGACTCGACGGGACATAACAACAACAACAACAGGACTAACCTGTTTGTACTCTTCTCTTCTCCAGCACCACAGCTCAAAGACATCAATTCTTTTCCTTTTCTATTATCCATTGTCATTGTCCAGCTCTATGATGCATAGTAAGCATTTGCAAAGACTATGGCCTGGATCAGGTGCACCGAAGTCTCCAGACAGACATCATTGCTCTTCAGTACTCTTGGAGAGGTCCCTGACAGCTGACTTTCCCAGTGCAATTTGTCTTTTGATTTTCTGGCTGCTGGTATCAAGAGTGTTGTTTGTGGAACCAAGCAAATTAAAGCTGTTAACAATCTCAATCTCTTCACCATCTATCATAATGCTGCCAATTGGCCCATTGATGAAAATCTTTGTTTTCTTGATGTTGCACATCAAACCATATTAAAGGCTGCAGCCCTTGACTTTCTGCAGCAAGTGCTTCAGATCCTCCTCAGTTTCAGCAAGCAGAGTCGTGTCATCTGCATAACTAGGGGAGCCATTTGTAGATCCACTTGTGATACCACATAACTCTGTCAAACAGTTGCTGGTTTAAAGGGTATTAGAGTGGTATGCTAAAGGTGCAGCTGAAATATCAGTGCAGAGGAAATACTCTGCAAGGAAAGGTTATTATTCTCCAGCACATGGAATAGACTGAAATTGAGATCTCTATACAACACTGTATCCACAGCAGGAAGAGTGCATGGGCTCAGGAACAACAGGTGAAAGTAGAAGACACCTATCCATTTTAGTGACTTACAGGGAAACCTCACAGCTCTGATGGTGTGGGATTTTGGGTCATGTGCCCCAAAATGATTCTTTCTTGCCACAGGACATACATAGCTAAACTCTCTGTTAAATACAAACTATAGCTACCTTTTGGACATGGTATAGCCAGGGATCAACATGCAAGAAGAGGAGTCAACGACTTGTTAAGGGTAATTGAAGCTGATGAGCAGGAGAAAAGCATGATACGAGCAGGGGAAAATGTGTGTGGAACTCAGGTGAACTACTTGGGTGATTCCTGGTATGCTCTTGTCTAATTGTGGCAAAGCTAAAAAATAAAGCAATGGAGATGTTTTCCAGAAATATATCCAGAAATTGGAGTTTAGACCCCTAAAGAAGAAAAGTTTGTGGCACAATTCCAGGTGAGCCATTGAGGCCAGAAGAAGGTTAGGGGACTTTTAGAATAAAATGCAAGAGGGAGAAGATGAGTACCAATTGTGACCATGAAACCAATTGCAGTGATGGAATCTATGGTTTATGACTTCTAAGTGTTTTACCCAGGAAGAAAGTCTTGCCAGAGCTCTGGGAGAGCTTCTCTCTGAGCAAGTTACAGAGAAGCGGATCCACATGACACACAAATTGGAAAACATGAAGATGTGTCACCCAGACCTCCTTCAAGAGCAGGTTCATTGTTCAGCTGCTAGATACATGGTTTGCTGACGGTGCCTTCTATTGGCATCTTGAAAGACAGCTTCAGATTTTCAGCCTGTGTTTTTCTTGTCTCCAAACAACAACTGAGCAAGACCTAAATATTTCTACCCAATGGGCACTTCTTTAAAGGGTAGTCTTTGGACACATGTACCAAACCTGCTTCTATTTTCTCTTACCATTCTCTGTCCCCCAATTGTTACTGAGTCAGCACGGACTCATAACTGACCCTCTCTGTCCCCCAATTGTTACTGAGTCAGCACGGACTCATAACTGACCCTCCAGGAGGTTTCTGAAGTTGTAAAACACACAGAAGAATTATTCATCTTTTTCTCATAGAGTCACTGGTGGATTTGAACCACCAGAGGCTCAGTTTTTGGATAAGCAGTGCAGCTCTCTACAGACTAGGCTGTTGCATAGCAATGAGATACAATGTATTCAAACAACCTAGTTATCATCTCCTGTACATTTTTCTAAAATCCTCCCCTATACTCCCCTTATACTACTAATTTTTTAACAGAAAAGGGAGCATTTTATAATGTGCTATTGCTGCTTAGCTGGCAAAGGATTTTTTTTTTCTTTTGACCTTTGAAATGGTATCTTTGATTTGCATCATTGGGAGGTGATACAGTTAAAAGCTTTGAAGCTCTGTGGTTTCACATAAAGAACCATATGGTGTGAAGGGTTTATTATTCAAAATGTCTCAGCCATCAACTTTGACTTTGTCACATAGATGGGAGGGATCATACAAATACTATGCATTATCCTATCCACAAGAGGGTTTGCTAGTCTTGCCACACTACTGGGTTTAAATCCAGTGGGGCTAGAGCAGAAATTGGGAATCTTAACACCAACAATGAAGAGGAAGCAGCAAGTATCTTTTGGAGTCAGAGATTCCTGTCATCCCGGGATCTGCAGAAGAACAGCATTCTCAGCAGAGAAACAGAGACCAAAATTAGGCAGAACTGACTTGGGACTATTGACCCTGTGAGCCAGAGCCTGAGGTCTTTAACACAAGGCTGCTGGAGGATTGAGGGAAGACATCCTAACTGGAAGGACTAGGGAACTTTATGACAATGACCTAAGTCATGAGACTAAAGGCCAAAGGGCATGTGATCATACTTGAAAACCTGTCTGGACTAAGGGATTGTGTTCTGTCAATCTGAATTATAACCTGCTCATTTCCCTAATAAATTCCATAACCATGAGTATGGTTCTTAAAATCTTTGTGCTCATTTTAATAGATTTTGGACCCAACAGAGTAGTAAGAATGGTGCTGGAATTAGTAGAAGTAGGTGCAGGAGTGTGAGAGGTCATGTCTGACTCTACAGGAATACTTTTATATTTTGGATGTTGTTGATGAGGACACTTCCTCTATGCAGAGTTAGACTCAGCCATCCCTAGGCTGCCCATAATCCTTTTACAAGATATTAAAAAAAACCAAACCATGAACAAACAGATTAAGTCCTTTTTGCTTAACTTTCTCAAAGACATGCCCTTCCCCCTCTTCAGTCAAAATTGAGTGACAGGGTTAAAATTTTTGGCTGTTCATGTATTGGAATGGAATGTAGCTGACAACGTAGTCTAAAGAGTTGTACTTAAGTTAGAAATGTGGATATAAATTAAGAACACACAATTCCCATTGTACTTTATTGTGAATACAGAAAGCAGGTATAATATGAACTGGGAATTTGTCAGAATGCCAAGCATTAAGACTGGACTTTAAAATTTACTTGGCAATTTTCACAATGTATTTCATCACAGTTCAGAACGCGTGATAGAGTTCCCCCGATTTCTGTAGATTTCTAGGGGTGGATGGCATTCTGGGAACTGTAGTAATTGAAGGAAATTTCAAAGGGGCTCAAGCCCAGTGACCTCAAATGAAGTTCAGAGAACAGTACACAGTGATGAAACGTGAAGCAGTAAAACAGTGCGTGGACTGAAATGCAAACATTGACTTGACTGAATTTTCATTTCGCATTTTAAATTTCTACTGAATTGTCTTCAGACACCTTCTGTCGTATTTTAAACTGTATCTCAAGGGTGCTGGGGGAGGGGTGAAGTCAACAGTCTGGGAGAACTCTTGAATAACATTTAAGACATGTTTGAATAACATTTAAGACATGTTTTGTGCCACAAAGTGTGAACCACATCATACCTGATTCTCCAATGAGCTTTCAGAAGCAGTAAACCACACAGCTCAGATGGGCTAAAGGCAAGATGCTGCTCTGCAATCCCAAAGGCACTTCGTTCAAGGCCACCAGCTGCTCCGGAAAAGGATGGGTAATCTCTTTAAGTGTGATTAACTGCATCTGAAAACCCGCTGGAGGGTTAGCTATGGGTCTGTTCCGACTCAAAGGTAAACAACCACAAACTGCACAGGAAGAAACTGGCCATCTTTCTTCTGAAGAGCAGTTGACGGATTCGAACCTGCGTGCTTTTGGGATGCAGGGGGTGGTGCACCTCCTTACCACATAGCTCCCACACTGTTACAATGTGGTTCTTTCAGAATATAGGAGGTACTCATCTGGATTGCAAAAGAGTGCAAGAAGGCAAATTTACATTTTATGGTCTTTTTGAGTGCGTGTGAGTCTCAGTTCCTCAGTCCTTGTTCCTCTTGCTTCAGGGTTTTCAGGCCACCTGTGCCGCAGGGCACACCTGCCACTCTCTACAATGGGAAACACCAGGCTGGTCTTCAGCGGCTGCAGCCCACGAGCAAGCTGCGCAGAATCGCAGTCTGGAGCTCAGCGGCTCCGGGAGCCGGCTGAAGGGAGTGGGGGGGACGACAGGGCGGGGTGCGCGCCGCCGTCGGCGTCACGTCACCAGCGTGCGGCACGTGCCCGTGTTTACGTCCCTCGTGGAGCGGCCGACGTCAGCAGTCGAATGGCAACATTGTGGCGATGCTGAAGCTTGGAGTTTAGGAGACTCGTCCTCCGGTCGGGCCGGCTCGCGGCGGTCAGGACGAAGAGGAGGAAGAGGGGGCGGAGAGATCGGCCCGGCGAGCGGCGAAGACCCGGACGGTGTCGGCCCAGGCCGTGAACCGGCCTGCCCAGCCCCGCGGCACTCACTCCTCGCCTCCAGCGCGCCGCAGACGCAGCTCCGCGGCCTGGCTCCGGGCGCAGCCGCGCAGGGGGCGGCCGGGAGGCGCTACCGCAACGCGGGGCGTGTAAACAGATCGGATCGCACGTGACCATGTGAACTACCTGCTCCGGGGACGCGTATTGTCTTTCCAGCGAGCCGCGCCACAAAGGAGAGCGGCGGGACCGAGTGCAGAGGGACAGACAGCAATCGGGAGAGCCAGCCGGCGCGCTAAGATGGCTGAAGGCGCCCGGCGAGGGTGAGCGGGGGGCGCGGCTTAGACAGCCGGTGAGTCCTCCGGGCGGCAGGGCCGACGGCCTCTCCGTCGGAGTCCTGCCCCGGAGTTACCATGTCGTTCGCGCTCGAGGAGACGCTGGAGTCGGACTGGGTGGCCGTGCGTCCCCATGTGTTCGACGAACGCGAGAAGCACAAGTTCGTTTTCATTGTGGCCTGGAACGAGATTGAGGGCAAGTTTGCGATCACCTGCCACAACCGAACGGCCCAGAGGCAGAGGAGCGGCTCCCGGGAGCCGTCAGGGGCACGAGGGGCCTCGGAGGCCGGGGGCCCCGCGTCCGATGGGCCTCGCGCGCCTGGCAGCCCAGCTGGCAGAGGCCGGCCCGAGACCACCGCGTCTGCGACCGCGGGCAGGAGCCCGGGACCTCGGAGGAGCCCCGCCTGGGCCGAGGGAGGCTCTCCGCGGAGCGCACGCAGTCTTCGGGGAGATTCGCTGCTGCGGAGTCCAGCCAGCAAAGGGCCGGAGAGTCCCCTTAAGAGCCCAGTGAAGGCCAAGGCCAGCCCGGTCCGCCGGGGTTCTGAAACCAGAGATGGGGCAGGGACCACTGCGCCGGTCCCTGCGGTTCCCGGGGAAGCGGCAGTGGCTTCGGTGCGGGTGGTGAGCGTCTCCGGGGCGGTCTCCGAAGAGATCGAGGTGCTGGAAATGGTGAAGGACGACGAGGCGCCCCCGGCCGCGGAGCAGCCGCCGGCCGCCGTGGAGCTGGAGGCCTCGGGCGAGGAGTGCAGCTGGGCCGGGCTCTTCTCCTTCCAGGACCTGCGCGCCGTGCACCAGCAGCTGTGCTCCGTCAACTCGCAGCTGGAGCCGTGCCTGCCGGTGTTCCCCGAGGAGCCGTCGGGCATGTGGACCGTGCTGTTCGGGGGCGCCCCGGAGATGACCGAGCAGGAGATCGACACGCTCTGTTACCAGCTCCAGGTGTACCTGGGCCACTGCCTGGACACCTGCGGCTGGAAGATCCTCTCCCAGGTGCTCTTCACCGAGACCGACGACCCCGAGGAGTATTACGAAAGCCTCAGCGAGCTGCGCCAGAAGGGCTACGAAGAAGTGCTGCAGCGGGCCCGGAAGCGCATCCAGGAGGTAAGGGTCTACTTTGGACTTAGGCAGTTGTTTCTGGTTACTCACTACCCAAGGCTGGAGTCTCTGTTTGGGGTGTTCGCGGTGGGCATGCTTATTTTTTCCGAACCAGGGAAAAGGAGGCCGGACCCACCTCCTGCGGAGTTCCTTTCGGTGCTAGGAAACCGTGGCTTTCCTTAATTGGCTCTCCGAAGGACCTTTGCTAAGTCTCTAGATATCCCCCTCCCCCGCGCTCCGCCACCCTCAGTTTACGGAATTGCCTGTAGAGAAGAGTCTCTATTTACTACCATCCAGTAATAAAATTAAAGCAGTAAGAAATACATCACAATCACTCTTGACCCCTGCAGCTGCCGAGATAGCAGTGCTGCTCTCCTGGTGTCATTTTTAGTTAAAGTTTATCTGGTTTTATCTTACATATGTAGTCTGGGAACTTGGGACAAATTTTTAAATTTCTTTCCCACCAAATAGGCTTATTTAAATGAGAAAGCTTTGGTTTCCAATGATTTTTAAAGGTTTTATACATATTTAAGAGATGTCTCAAAACTTTGCAGATAGTTGGGCCTGATTTCAGTCTTGTTTCAGATCAAAAGGTCCTGGGAAAGAATGTTTATTATACTTTTGCGCTTACTATATTAGTTAAAAAAGCTTCAAACAGTTCACGGATCTAAACCTTAAACAGCAAATGGGTGGGGGGGGGGAGTGTGACTTAAGTTTAAATGACCTCACAATGATTAAATGCATGTGTGATTTGAGACAGTGCCTGTTTAACCAGCTTTTTCAGCCTAAAGAAATTTGATAATTTTTCGTTAATGGATAACAAACAAGTACATTTTCCAAGCATGTAATCATTTTAGTATTAGCACAAATTTAATTTAGAATAAGGGTTGGAAATGATGCATTTTCTGTTGCTTATTATTGCTCAGGTTGTGTTGTCCTTTGTTAACTTATGTGTCTATAATACATGAGTACTGCTTTTAGGCCAGGAAGTTGGTTTCTTTGGATGTTTCCTATGTTTCTTTGCTATTTGATTAGTTAAGAAGTAACTCATAGCCCTCAGTATTTCCTAACAACCTCCTGAGTCCAGATTTTCACTCCTTTTTAGTTTACTTCAGACTAAACTTAAGTCACCATAACATGATCCTAGAGGTCAGTGATCTGTTTTTATTTCCATTTTTTGTTCTCACTTTGAGATTCTGTGTTTTATCTCAAATTCTTTTGTAAAGAACTGAGAGAACTATTTAATCACATGTAGTCTTATTATTAACCTGTGTTATTTCTTTTAAATGGCAAAAATAAAAAGTATTTATTTCTTTAATTAAATTTATGGATCTTTTAGATTTTTTCTAATTTTCAATTAGTATTTTTTCATCTTTAAATAATATGTTGTAAAACAACTATGACATATCATCTCACCCCAGTAAGAATACCAAAACAGAACAGCAAACATCAAATGCTGTCGAGGTTGTAGAGAAATTGGAACCCTTATTCACTGTTGGTGACAGTGTAAAATGGTGCGGCCACTACGGAAGGCGGTATGGCGCTTTCTCAGAAGTTGCAAATAGAGATACCATTTGACCCAGCAATTCCACTACTGGAAATATACCCTAAAGAAACCATAACTGCCACCCAAGCAGATATATGCACACCCATGTTTATCACGGCCTTGTTCGCAATAGTAAAGAGCTGGAAACAACCCAAGTACCCACCAACAAACGGATAGAGAAGCTCTGCTATATTCACACAATGGAATACTATGCTGCATTGAAAAACAAGGAGCTCATGAAATACTATGCAAAATGGATGATCTTGGAGAACATTGTGCTGAGTGAAATATCTCAGTCACAAAAGGACAAATATTACAGAGGGTCACTGACTGACATCAGGGTTGAGGAAAGACAGAAAAGGCGGGGAGGAATGATGTATACTACATTGAAACAGATGAGGGAGAAAACTGTTTAAAAGGGGTATGTGATTAGGTATTATTGTCATGAAGGGAGTCCAGAGTGAAGACAGCATAGTGGAATGGACCTGGGAGGAGGGATTGTAGACAATGAAAGAATTTTTCCTTTACTTTTTTTTCAAAGAGAGGAGTGTACTGGGGGGGAGGGGTGGGCAGGGAGAAAAGTGCAACAATGTATGAATGGAAATAAAAAAAATAAATAAATGATGTGATGTGCTTTTGAGTTGGAACCAATTCACAGCTGACTCCTCCAGTGGGAGGCTATAAATTGCACAGGCAAAGATTGTCCTTTTTTATCGTGTGGAACAGCTGGTGGCTTAAATCCAAGTGCCTTTGGGTTGACAGTGCAACTCATTAGGATACCAGGGCTCCCTTAAAAAGGTTACATTTTTAGGTACAGTTGAATTAGATAGGACTTACAACAACCCTTTGAACTGTGGGTCTGAACCCTGCCCTATCCTGTACCATCCTCATTATCTGCCACATTTGAGTCCACTGTAACAGTTTACTTTGTCAGTCTGTGTTGTCCAGTCTTTCCCTCCTTGTCACTGACTGACCCTTCACCCTTCCAAGTTTGATGGCCTTTCACAGCATGTCAAAGTATGTGAGATGAAGAGATTGTATAATCTTTGTATTTTTAATTCCATTGAGTTTAGTCATTTCACCTAGTAAAATGCTGTCTTGTTTCTTACTGTCAAGTTGCTTTAGCATCTAGTATTGTTAGTTGTTGACACGCTGTTATTTGTAGTTGTGTTCAGTTGGAACCAACTTAAAGCTGACCCTCCAGTGGGTTTTCAGAGACTCTAAATCACACTGGTAGAGATTGTCCATTTTTTTATCTCTGAGGTATTAAGTAGCTGGTGTATTCAGACCACTTCCCTTTGAATTGATAGTGCAGCTCTTTATCACTAGACCACCAGATCTCTCTCAAGACCTGGGCATAGACTTTTAAGATGAATATATCTGGTAAGTTAAACAAATTCTTAGGTGTTTATTATTTAGAACGTTTAGTCATTTGTCCACGTTTCTGGGTGTTTTTTTAAAATTTTTTCAATTTTTGGATGTTTTTTCTAGTTTTCCTTTTTGTATTCATTTAAAGATTTTCGCTTAAAGGCTATACCTGGTATTGTTCAGAATAATCACAAAATTATTGAAAGGAGGCTATTTTTAAAATTTTTTTTGGCTTTTTTTTCTAAATAGAACATACTGTACAGCTAGTTTATAAACTTGTCAAGGCCACTGACTTTGACAGTGCCTTGGAATTTTCTTGCCACCTCTAGTTCAGGGCCACACATCTTATTAATAGTGGATAAAGACACCTGAGTTTTTTAATTTTGCAAAAATTCAGTGTCCATTTAATATGTGGTTATAGGTAAATTTGTGTAAATTTATAAATGAACTTTTAAAAATAATTTTTATATATTCCCCTCCTTTATGTGGACCACCAAGTCGGATCCAACTGGAGATTCCCCTCCTTCTCCAGAGGAGCATCTGGTGGATTTGAACCCTGTGCCTTCAGGATTACAGTGCAACTTCTTGCCACTAGGCCACCAGAACTCCAGATGAACTTTTCTGGATAAGAGTTTGCTAATCCTTTAAGTGCTGAAGAACAACAATGTCAGTCTGGAGACTAAGGTACGCCTGATACAGGCCAGGGTCTTTGCAGTCACTTGCTGTGCGTCAGAGAGCTAGACGATTGACTAGGGATGATAGAAGGAGAATTGATGCCTTTGAGCTGGTATTGGAGAAGAGTATTGAATATACACCATGGACTGCTAAGAGAACAAACACATTTCTGGCACATAACAACAACAATCCTTTAAGTTGAGGTGGGACTGGAAATGGACTCTATGGTACCTTACATAGCATGTTATTGTTATGTGCTGTTGAGTCGCCTGTGACTCATAGCTTCCCTATGTGTAATAGCTCTGAACTCTGCCCTATACCTGAGCCAGTCTCACTGACTGAGACAAACGTAATCCCCATTGCCCCAGTCAACTGTGTCAATCCATCTCCTCCAGGGTCTTCCTTTCCTGCATTGTCCTTCCACTCTTTCAAGCATGATGTACTTCTCTAGGACTGGTCCCTCTTGGCCATGTGTCCTTTGTATGTCAGATGGAGCTTCAAAATTCTTGCCTTCAATGAGAAATTTGGTTACATCCTCCCAAGACAGTCCTGTTTGTTCTCTTGGCCATCCATGGTATATGTTCAGTACTCTTCTCTAGTACACTGACTCCAAGGTATCGATCCTTCTATCATCCTTATCATCTGTCATTGACCAACTCTCTGATGCATAGAAAGTAATTCTGAAGACTATGGCCTAAGATCAGGCACACTTTAGTCTCTAGACTGATTTAATTGCTCTTTAGGACTTTGGAGAGGTCTCTGTTAGCACACTTCCTTAAAGCATTAATCTTTTGATTTCCTGACTGCTGGTGTCAGGAGTGTTTGTGTAGCCGAGCAAGCTGAAATTGTTGACAACCTCAGTCTCTTCATTTGTTGTGGTGCTGCCAGTTGGTCTAGTGGTGAGAATCTTTTTCTTTTTGATGTTAAGCTTCAATCCATATTGAAGACTAGTGTTTGACCTTCTACACCAAGTGCTTCAGTTCTCCTCAATTTCAGCAAGCAAGGTTGAGTCATCTACATAATGCATGTTATTAATGAGTCTTTCTCCAGCCCTGATGCCCCCTTCCTCCTCAAAAAGTCCAACCTCAGGGAGCTCTGGTGGCCTAGTGGCAAGAAGCTGCACTGCAAACCCAGAGGTGCACGGTTCAAATCCACTAGATGCTCAGGTGGAGAAGGAGGGACAATCTCCTCCTGTACCAGTCAAATCTGATTTGACGGTACACACACAAGAAAGTCCAGCCTCACAAATGATCTGTTCCCCTGATGCACTCCTTTCTTGATTTTGAACCATGCAGTATTCTCTTGTGCTGTTCTAACTACTGCTTCCTGATCCAAGAATGGCTTTCTCTAGCAGCACAATCAAGTGTTCTGGAATTCCCATTCTTCTCATGTTAGCCACAATTTGTTGTGATCCATA